AACTACTCCCTCTAAACAAGAAAGAGAGTGAATTGGTACGTATAGCAAGTCCTAATAAGTAATCATAAGCTCATTGAGTATTTGAGTTTTGATAGTACTGAATAGAACACTACTTAGTTCCAAATATGCCAAGTATTCTTAATAATGAATAATGGTGGAGGCATAGGAAAATATCTTCAATGATAGAAACTTGTCTCCTAATCTTCTACTCCCTCCGTCCCAGAAAACCTTTCTCCTTTCTTTTTTCATCCGTCCCAAAAAACACTTCTCATTTCTATTAAAAAGTCACTTTTACCCCTTACTTTTTCATACCCTACCTATCACATCATACCTTTTTACTAATAATCTATCCATCAAATCATACTTTTACCCATCACATCAAAGGACATTTTTGGAAATTAAATACCAAAATACATTCCCCTTAAATCCCTCTCCAAAACCAAAACTCCCATGTTTTCTGGGACGGAGGGAGTATATATATTATATAAACATAAGAGAGGGTTTGGTACCCTTAATAATAATGCACCTTTTCCATCCATTTAATTTGTATCGTATGCTTTGAGAGTTGTACATCTCGTTTATTTCCCCTTGAACTCCCCATGTCCCAATCCTTATGTTCGTTATCTTTTTTACTTTGTCCTATTATTAGGCCTCTTTCCACATACAATAACTATTCTGATTCTCAAAATCACAATAGTTTTCTCATCACATCTACATAGCATTTGCTTATTCCTTTCAATCCTTTGAGAAAAATCATATTATCCCATCATTTGATGCTGTTCATATCTATCTGCATGCACACGTAAAGAACATTGATGAAACAGTCTTTAAGATCCTAGAGGGAGCCCTAAGCTAGCACATTGGCAGCTATGTTACTATTTTATGTTTTATGGGAAGTAAATTTTGTGGGCAGGGAATTAGGGAACAACATTTTCTTCCCTGTGTCTTTCTGCTTTACTTACTTCTTTTCAAGGATAATATGCTTTTTATTTCTGTAGATGAGTTGTGATGGTTACTTGTAAGTGTGCAACCAACACTTTAGTTTTCTTTGCTCGTACCTCGAGTCAACTTCTGCAGGTTGATACCCATTCCCCAACCACCATTACTACTACAACCACCATTACTACTACAATTTCTCTAAAGATTCAACCATGATTTTCTATCTCCTTGGAGCATTGGCAGAATATATATGTGATGTTATGTGATGCCCAACTGGTTTCAGTGTTTTTGTTCTGACTCTCACTGTTTGGTATGGTTTTTATCAAACCAATATAGTATGTTTCTGATGGAATTTTAAATTCTCAATAGAGGGTCGTGGTAGATGTACATATCTTGTTATTTTTGTATGCCTAGCGGCTCAAGTGGTGAAATTAATTATGATTAATGAGTTTGATAATTACATATTAAAAAATGCCCTAAATATTGTATTCCCCAAAAATAATTTGTCACGTGTTTATGCTTAACTTTTTGAAATTAGTCAAAAAGTTGTTTCCATCCATAATGCAAAAAAAAAAAAAAAGAAAAAACTGGCATCATGACGGTAAGTATTTTCAACTATTTGGTGTTGTAGGGGAAAGAAATGCCAGGTTTCTAAATAGTAAATATTATAATTGAAATTTTAATTTAAACTAAAATAGTTATTCGGAACTTTTATTATTTTGACCATTTGCTTGTAATCATTAAACATCTTGTTTACAATTATTGACATTATTCTAATACATTTACTACCAATTCAGATGATGCATTGAAGAAATTTCTAACCTTTATTCTGGCCATTATTGTCAATACATGTGCCACTCTAATGTTACTAGAGACTTTTTCTATGATCTGCAAACACTTTGTATAGCGAAACCTTAAATAGATTGTCGTTATTATCGAATTCATTGGAGAAAAAACAATATGCACCAATTCAACCACAATAAATCATATATAAAAATATTAATATTTTTTGGATAATACTATGATCGGGCATTCAAGCAACGCGCGTATAATGCTAGTGTGTGTGTGTGTGTGTGTGTATATATATATATATGTAGGTATGTAGGTATGTATGTCGCCTAGGCGATATGAAGGTACATTGGCGCCTCGCCTTGCCGCCTTACAAACTATGGTTTTGAACAATCGTTTTCAAAAAAATATATCCCTAACCTTTTATGAATATTCCCAAATGACTCATCGCTCATTTAAGTCACTCTACAAAAAAACTTGAATAAGCAACTTATAAATTAAAAACTACTTATGAGCTAAATGAAGAATTTTATTAAATAAATGAGGTCTTTTGGGATCTAAAACAAACCCAAATCCAGAGAGTTCAAAAGCTCAACAAAATTCCAACAACAACAAAGCATTATTCATGCAACTTCATTGGCAAATACAAGCATAATCTAGTTTTACCACAAGAATATACATGAGAGTCGAATACCTATTGAGTGTAGCAGATACAGTTTCCTGCACAGCAGCCCTCCAGTTGTAACCTTTATTTGACGTAAGATATATAGCGCCTTCATCAGTTACCATTTCTGCGCTGTTTTCACCTGTCGCTTTTATGTATACCTGCAACCAAAGAACATATTGTTTTTTCAAGATCAATGTAATTCAGAGAATGATAAATGGATATCACAAAAGAAAAGAGTGCAATGTGCATTCACTCTCCATAGCTTCTCATGATATGTGTATTGCAATGTCAGTAGATGAAACAACGACAACAGAAACAACAAATAATACTACTGTTGCTGCTACAACTACTATTACTACTCTGTATAATATTCCAAAACAAAGCTTTCATATTAGCCCAAACACAGTTACTTTCTATACACTGAAATGATTTAATGATCTCACGACTCACAAGACAAGATAAATAATTATTGACTTAATATCTACAGTTACTCTATTATCAATAATCGTACGCTAGTATTTTAGATCCTTTACAATGGTAAGTTTGCCCACATTTGCAGAACACTGTTGGTAAGAAAACCATAAAGGATAGAAGTGTTTAAAAAGATAGATTTGCAGTTCCAAGAGCATGAGTCCATAATGAACTTACCCGGAAGTTCTATTTGCACACTTAATATCATGACATTTCCAATGTGGAACATTTTTATGGGACTAAGGGAGTTCAAAAGAGGAATGGTGAAGGTAAAACATCAATGGATAGTGATCCAACTTCATTAGAGAATTATTGAATTGCTAGAACTTAGAAGTTATGCACTATAGACTTATTTACTCTTCTCTTCAGGAATCAAATTCTATAAACTATTGACTTTACTATACAACACACACACACACACACGTATACCCATTTCAATTCAATATATATAGAGAAAAGTAACTTCTTGTAAAGAGTATCATAACAAGGGTATATGATTACCATATCACCAGGTAGTTGAGAACTTAATGGTATCCGCTCCCAATTTTCCCCAGCATCAGAACTATGCAACAAGATGGCTGGTTTTCCTACAATCCAACCCTCCTTCCCTTTGAAGCTAATTGCGTTGAACCGATAATTGATATCTTCCTCTTCGGCTGAAGGAATTGATCGTGATACCCAAGTGTTTCCTCCATCCTTAGTTTCCAAAATAGTTTGTCTAGTCCCCAACAAAAAGCCTGTAAAAATTGAAGTGTCACCATTTGTCACTAAACTAAAGTTTAGAATCAAATGATCTCCCACACCATTGAATGGCACACCTGATATGCAAAACAAAATACACACAGACCATCTAATATACTCATGGCATACAAATCAATGATAATTGTTCAAATGTCGTTGAAACTAATCTCGAGCTACAATGTGTAATCAACACATAATGGTACACCATACACAACTTCTTAGTACTCTCCCATCCAGTTTTTTTTTGTCCTTTTTTAGTCTCATTTCTCGTTAAGGGAAACAGGGTTGGGATTATACTGCTTTTGTTGTTGTTGTTGTTCCTGTTAAGGAAATAATTGTGTGGTGCATATTAAATCAAGACAAAATCAGGGAAAGTCCCTTTTGCACAAGGCTCCCTAGCACACACCAAGTAGACACTTGCCGTGACCTTTTCACTGGTTTGTAAAAGAAGGCACTCCTATCTAAAACTCAAAATTTCTGAATGCACCAGAAGAAAGCAACCAAATGCAAAACCAGGAAGTCCTAAATGGGGCAAACTTGCAAAATAATCGCAAGGCACCAATGGCAAAAGAATATGAAAGCTACATGATGTTTTATGCTTCTACACTTTAACGAAGCTAAAACAGACCGTGTTTGAGGTCGTCGGTTACAAAATCGATGTCCAGAAGCACTATGCCTGGGTCGACAGGCAGGTAAACCCTCTCCCACTCCGAGAGCTGCTCGTTGCTTGGGGAGCTCCGCAGAAAAGGAAGGAGAGAAGCGGCGGCCGCAGAATCGGCGATAAAATAGCGGCGACTAAGACACGCCCCAACCGCCAGACGGCGGTGGGACAGTCTCCTCCTACCCGTCGCCATCGACGAAGTTCGGAATCCGCGGGGGAGAATGCCGGAGCTGAAATTGTGCGCAGGAGGCTCGAGAGAAGCGAGGAAGGGTTTGAAACCGCCGGTGGATACTCGTGGAGACGCCATTTTTGGCTCTGGTTGGAATGCAATCTCGTGAGCGTTTGTGCGTTAATCTTATCCTGTTATCGCAAATAGAGGATATGGTGGTGGGTCGTTAATCTTCGCGGGAGTACGTCGTTTAGAAGTGGAAGGAAGGATCAGTGGGTTGACAAAAATACCCATACGGCACTGTACTAAATCAAACCGACATGATACCCGAATAGGAAAAAAAATGTTTTCAAATGATTATAATACTCCCTAAATAATCTTCCTATATACAATGTTAAGAGGACATTGTGAACAGTGTTCCCACCCATTTTACCTCTGCAGTTTGGGCTGGTGGGCTGGGTGTTATTGGGCTGAAAATGGAGACCTCTCTTGACAGCTATTTTTAAGGTCTATTCCACTTGGTGTGTGGCTCTATAAAGTAAACTAATGATGCTTTATTGAGCCAAGTGACACATCAACTTTACCTCCAACTTTACATCAAATCAAGTAATTAAATAGATTTGCACAATCCAAGCATTTAATGTGCTTTCAATTAGTTGATTCACTATGTATTATATATTCATTATGCCCGAATTGCTAAAACACACCAATGCATTCTTCTACCATATTTGAGTTCTTTTTCTTCCTTGAGATGGCCGAAAATTCTCAAAGAAATTCCAGGACAATGTTTACTCCGATTTTTGAGCTGGACAACAATCGTACATCTTGGATTCTCAAGTTAAGGGCTATTCGTGTTTACTTTGTTCCAAGGTGGGCGAAAGGCGGAGATTCTATGGAGATCTTCTTTCACGATGAGCATGTATTGTATTCACAAACTTATTACATTTTTTTATTATCAATTGTATCACTCAAATTACAATTGTGTCACTCAAATACTCATAATATATACCTTTTCTACAGGGAACGAGGATTCATGCACATCTTAACCGACCGGAAAAAAGGAAGTTTGAAAACCAAATCACCGAGGATGGTGTTTATGCCATTTGAAATGTTTTTGTTCACGACAACCTACTATCAAAGTTTGAAAACAACCACAAATGATAAGCTCTTGGGTTTTTTCAGAGAAACTGAAGTGAAAACATTGAATCTGAGTGATTTTCCACGGATCATGTTTGACTTAGAATTATTTCCAGTTCTTCAAAGCCAACCATGTTTGAATGATCAAGTTTTGATTGGTATTATTTCATTAACCAAAGCCCTTCTTTTAAATGACATTTATTACCCAAACATCTATCAAGAAAAAGTTAGTTCATATCACCCACCTAGAGCCACACGCCTAGGCTATTAATTGCATTTAATGTGATGCACGGGCTTCATTGTGAGTTGTAACATTGGCTTCATTTCACACTCAACTAATACTTTATTCTTTAGTTTTATAAACACACTTTTCTTAAAATTTAATTATATGAGGATTAATGGGAATTTTTCAATTTAATTATTCAATTTAAATATGGTAATATACACGAAGTCAAAATACCGTGTAATGAATAAAAAAATTATACTTTAATCAAAATATTAATACATTCCAAAATGCGTGCATGTTCCAATTAAAAGAACCTAAACCTAAAACAAAAAAAAATTATTTATTGTTTAAAAAAAAATTATATATAAAAAGTATTTTTTTGTGTATAAAGAAGACATTCTGGGTGTGTGCATTTATATCTGATAAAAACTTCGAAATTAATATTTATCTGATAAAATTGCCTACAGGTAGTGATGACTTCGTAATAAGTGTTCTCATTTAATGTGAAGGTACATCTATTATTACTAAGCATTCTTGACAGCTTCATTAATGATGAAGATATTTAAAGAAACTAGGAAATCTAAGTGTGTGGCCCAAGGACAATGTGGCGTGCAAATCTTATTGTGTTGCCCAAGGTGCCATAAATGTGGTAATTATCACATCTAATTTAAAATAAAAAAAATAAAGGCTATCATTTGAGATGGGTGTCGTCTAAAAAGTGATCAGTTAACCAAAGCCCTTCTTTTAAATGACATTTATTACCCAAACATCTATCAAGAAAAAGTTAGTTCATAAAACCTACCTAGAGCCACACGCCTAGGCTATTAATTACATTAAATTTGATGCACGGGCTTCATTGTGAGTTGTGACATTTGCTTCATTTCACACTCAACTAATACTTTATTCTTTAGTTTTATAAACACAATTTCCTTAAAATTTAATTATATGAGGATTAATAGGAATTGTGAGGTTCATTGTGATTATATTTCGTAGATATTCAATATTTAAAATAATAAAAATTCTTTAACAGTTACCGTGTAATGAATAAAAAAAATTATACTTCAATCAAAATATTAATACATTCCAAAATGCGTGCATGTTGCAATTAAAAAAACCTTTTTGTTTAAAAATAAAATTTATGTATAAAACATATATTTCTTTATTTTTTGTGTATATAGAAGACATTGTGTGTGTGTGTGTACATTTATATCTGATAAAAACTTTGAAATTAATATTTAAAAAATATGTGTGACACAATCCATGATTTAATGCATCTTACAAAGCCCAATATGTAATTAATGTGATATCAATCAAAGCCCATATTTCATAAACCTATCAAAGCCCATATTTGGCATCTATCAAAGCCCATGAAATCATAACTATAAACTTTTTATTTTATAAAATTAAATAAATATATGTTGCATTCAGAAATTAATAAGTATAACTTTTGGTCAAAAATTTGTATATTCATTTATAAAAATATTGATGTTATAATTGTGTTACTGATTAAATTAATAAATATGTTATTTATCCCTATATATATATATATATATATATATATATATATATATATATATATATATATATATATTTTAAAGTATATTGAAAGATAAATCACACAGAAATACACGTCTGAGGAGGACTATACCAAAGCCTCAGAGGTAAGAAAGATTTCTATAAACATTCTACTTGTGAGGGAGAAGAAAGCTCGCTTATTGATCTTCAAATAAGACCAATCTTTAATCGTTTGCCGTTCAGCCAGAAACGGTTCGGGAAGGAGGCATTAGCTCTGTCTTCTGAGATCATCCATTTCTTCTTTCTGTGTAACCAAATCCAGCCCTGAATCTCCCAATGAATTTTGTTAATCATTCTCGAGCTTGAGCCAGGAGTGTCCTCATAGATTGCAGCATTGATTTCTTTCCAAATTGTCCAGACAATAACACCTGGGAGAACACAACGTAGATGAGCTGAGAAGCTTTTTCCTTTTGCTTTGATGAACCACTGTAACATGTATTGATTAATTTTGCAGTTTGTGGTAATTTTTGGTCCCTCTAGGATGTCTGTGAAATGACCCCAAACTTCTTTGGCATATGGACAGTGAAGGAAGCAATGGTCCGATGTTTCATGTTGTGCGCAAGGGGAAGAGCTTCACAGTGTAATTTCCATAAGAATAAACTGATTTTGGGGATTTGAAGCTTGTGCCAAATCAGTTTGCTGGACATGGTAGTGCAGTAACCATTGATAGACGCTGAGACTGCCTTGCTGAAGGAGAAGTCCCCATCCTTCCATCTGTATTGGTCCTCACTTAGGTAAGTGTATTTACTTGCCATTGTGTGAACTTTAGAAATCCTCCTGCAGGTAGGTGAGTCTGTTGGTTTACATCTGAAATTACCCTCCCTCCAGTATTTCTTCCTCATGTAGGCTGCCCACTCCCCAGAGTTTTTGTTAATTTTCCACCACAATTTGAGAGCATTTGCTTCTTGGATATTGTCCATATGTTTGATCCCTAATCCTCCAGATTCTGTAGGTTGACATACCTTTGTCCATGAGACCCAATGGTGTTTACACTTTCCATCCTTGACACCCCACAGGAAATTTTCCATTCTTTTCATCAGGCTAGAAGAAATAGATTTTGGAAGTTGGTAAACAGCCATAAGGTGTGAAGGAATAGCAGATAGAGTGAATTTAATAAGGATGAGCCTCCCCATTGAGTTGAGAGTTTTGTTGTACCATGTGGATAGCAGTCTGTCGAAGTGTTGGATTAGAAAACCACAGTCTTCTTTTCTTAAGATTCCTTTACTGACTGGTACCCCTAGATAAACTAGGTGATCTCTGCCATGATTAATCTTCAGTGCTCTTTCTTTTGCAAAGGTTGCTTGAGGTGAGGTGTTAGAGGTTGTGTAGAATTTACTCTTCTGAAAATTGACTCTCTGCCCTGAAGCTTGGAGGAACCCTGATAATAAGTGGGATAATCTAAGCAAATTTCTCACCCTTCCATTAGTAAAGATGACAAGGTCATCTGCATAGGCTAGGTGTGAGGGGGTTGAGGCTCTTCCAGCATTGAAAGGAGTGAGAAAACCTGAATGATGATGAAAGTTGAGAGATCTGTTGAGCCCTTCCATTCCAATAATGAATAAGAGTGGGGAAAGAGGATCCCCTTGTTTAACCCCTCCATTCATTTTGAAAAATCCTGAAGGACTCCCATTGACAAGGACTGAAAATTTTGTGGCTTTCAGGTTAGCTAAAAGAAGGTTTTGGGTTTTTGAATTGAAACCAAATGCTCCCAAGATGCTCCTCAGATAGTCCCAGTTCAATCTGTCAAAGGCCTTTGAAAGGTCAAGCTTAATGATCATGTTACCTCCTTCTACTTTTCTATTTATCTCATGATACATCTCCTCCACCATAAGAATGTGATCAGCAATGTCCTTACCCTTTTGAAAGGCAATTTGATGGCCAGATATTATCCTAGGAAGGACCTTAAGAAGCCTTGAAGCTAGGATCTTAGTATTAATTTTACTAAGGAAAGTAGATAGAGAAATTGGCTTGTAGTCATCAAAGGAAACTGCATTTTCTTTTTTGGGAATCAGGGACAGCCATGTTGCTCCATAACCTGTAGGAACTAAAATGCCAAGGAAAAATTCTTTAGAAGCCATACAAATTTCATTCCCAATAATATGCCAAGTTTTTCTGAAAAAATCTCCATTGAATCCATCTGGTCCAGGGGCACTGTTTGGATTGAGGGCCCAGACTGCTTCTTTAACCTCCTTGTTGTCTGGTAGGGCATTTAGAGATATGTTGTCTTCTTCTGAAATGGAAAGGGGGATGTGCTTTAGAATTTCACTGATGTTTTGAATGGGGGTTTCTGAGAAGACCTTAGTGAAATAATCTACTGCTGCTTTCTTGATTCCTTCTGAGTCTTTTATGCTTCTTCCATTTTCCCCTTTGATTTTCCTAATTTTGAGCTGTTGTCTCCTGCCCTTGACATATGATTGAAAAAACTTAAGAGTTTTTGTCTCCAAGATCCATCCAGTTAAGGTGAGACTTTTGCCTCCAATAGGCTAACTCATTGATGCTTGCTCTTTGAAGCATAGCTCTAGCTTTAAAGAGGGATTCTCTGTTGCTAGGGGAGGGGTCATTGGAGAAGATTGTTTCAGCAGTATTAGCATCCTGCTCAGCTTGAGAGAGATTGGAGAAAATGTTGCCAAAAGTGTCTTTGTTCCAATCCTTTAGAACTTTTTTGAGCCTTTTGAACTTTTGATGAAGCCCTAACATTCCACCGACATTAGGGGTCTCTTTCCAGAATTTATCAATGAGGGGCAAGAATGTTGAGTTGTTAGCCCAAGCATTAATGTATCTAAAAGGTTTAGGACCTTCCTCCTTAGTTGTGGAGCAGATTACCAAGAGAGGGGCATGGTCTGAACCAGTCATGTTGAGGTGTTGCAGTGAAACATTTTCATAGTGCTGTAGCATGGGTGGATTGGCAAGTACCCTGTCTAAACGTCTCCAAACCTGACCCCTTCCTCTTTTCCCAGTCCATGTGAAGAAATTACTCTCTGGGTTGATAGGAGAGAGATTGGCTAGGTCAATGCAGTGATTGAATTCTTCCATACTAAGAGGATCTGGTAATATGTTACCTTTGTGATCATTATGAGTTAGGATAGCATTGAAGTCCCCTGCAACTAACCATAGGTCATCCTCTACAAAATGATCCTCTAAGTCATTCCACAGTTTTCTTCTATCAATATAACTGTGTCTGCCATACACTGAGGTAATTACCACTTTAGTGCCTGATTCAACTTGTTTAAAAGAACAAGTGACTGCTTGATCCCCCATTTTGAAGTCAATGAGCTGAAGTGAGTTATTGTCCCAGAAAATCCAGGCTTTATTGTCCAGAGCTGAGAGGTGGTTGGAAAAATTAAGAGACATGGAGTATCTAGTAAGTTTATTTAGGCTAACAAGGGGTTCTAAAATAGCAAGGAAGGAAATTTTGTGCATTTTGATAAGGGATTGAAGTCTCGCTCGAGATGAAGCAATCCCTCTTATATTCTAGAAAAGGTAGTTCATTGGATATGAAGGGGGTGGGAAGTGTCTCCATAGAGCTTGCTTTGACTTCTAGTGAGGACACCAAAAGAGGGGTAATATTTTTTGTTAGCCACCTCCTTGATTCTCCTAACTAACTGTGCAGGAAGGGGAAGGACAAGGGAGTGGTCCAAAGTTAAAGGAAGTTTTTCTCCTTCAGAGTGATAATGAGGGGGGTTTTCTTCCTCATCATCAGCTATTTCTAGAGCATCCTCATCAAGTCCAATTGCCTTAATGATGGTAGAGGTAGCACGGCTAGAGTCCACCTGATGATGTGAGTCATCCAGGCTTCTATGAAGGGTATGGCCATCTTCATCAACCATGTGACTGAGAGGGGAAAATTGGTTGTGCAGAGGTATTATCTCATTTTTTGTGTTTTCCTTCCTTTCTTCAATTTCAGATGTGTGGGAGAAAATAATTCTGTCTTCCAGTAACTCCTTCGTGGCCTGAGGGGATGATGTTATATCCTTTCCTATAACCATAGGCATAGAATTACCTCCACTGTGAGCTGGGGAGCTGGTTTCTGCAAAAGGGCCCATGGTTACTGAAACCCTCTGGGACAGTATTTCGTCCTGATCTGCTTGAGGTTTAGCATTTAGAATAGCTGTGCTTGTGATAGGTTTGGGTTTCCAATAATGAATAGGTGGGTTGAGAGAGATTCCTGATTTTGGATTTTTCTTTTTGGTAGCAATTAACCACCCCTGTTCCTTCTGGCATGGGGACCCCCAAAGACTCCTACCATACCTTTTTCAGCCCTCTCCATTACCGGCGGTGAGATCTTGCAGCTCAGGTTGCTATGACCCAAGGAAGAGCAGGAGAGGCAGTAGGATGGCACCTTTTCAAAGGTGCAGGGAAACAAGAATTCCTGATTGTTCATTTTAACATGGATGGAGGAGGGGAGAGGTACTGAAACATCAACTATGACACATGCCCTAGCTTAATCAAATCTATGGTGTAAGAGTGTACCTGAATCCACCTTCAGAGGGGTGCCAAGTAGGAAGAAAAGCTGGTAAGGGCTCCTATATCCAATAGGTGCAGAGGTAATCTGTTGATGGTAACCCAAAGGGGGATGTTGGGATTCTCCTTTTTGGCACTGTAATCTTGAGACCATTTGAATATCTTAACAGGGGTATCTCCAAAAAACCGAAGTCTCTTAAGAAAAAACCTTTGGAAATCCCATTCTTCTTTGAAATTAAAGAGGATGTCATTACCAGCTAGATGTTGAACTTGGATAGAATCATCAAAACCAATTGTAATCAGCACCTTTCTTATCATCTGCAGGTCCAGCTTTCTTTTGCTCCTTCCCACCAGAGCGAAACGTAATTTCAAGGCAAGGTGGTTGGATTCCTCTGCGTTGAAGGAAATAGAATGATTGCCCCTTACCTTTCCTAGAACCTGTCCCAAGAGCTTGTCTGATGGAGGCACCAGTTTGGAGAACAGTTTCCTTTTTTCTGTAGTTTTTAAATTTATATGGTTGGATGAATGACCTAAACCATTTGTATTAGAATATGAGAATTTATTACTCGTCGGAGTTCTAGCTGGAAAACCAGAGAATTCCGGTGACTTTCTCACTCTAGAATCCATCATATACATATATATATATATATCATCCCTATATATATATGTATATATATATGTATATATATATGTATATATATATATATGTATATATATGTATATATATATATGTATATATATGTGTGTGTGTGTATATATATATATATATATATATATATGATGTATATGTATGTATACATATATATACACACACGTTTTATTAATAACATTTGTACGCTGTGCAGTAAATAATACGCCATTCCTCCTTGAGCCACCCACCTATCCTAATAGTAGGGTTTAGTTTCATTCATTTAATGCACTAGAAGGCATGCCAACTATATTAGTCTTTCCCTCTAACTTACACATTTATTTCTCTATCTCCCAACCAACCTCCTCTTTGAAGTTGATATTGAGCATTCAAAGCTAGCATTAAATTCTTCCTTTCTAGGGTAAGTAAATCACATCACGATGACTTTTTAAAGAACTTTGTGTTGATGGTTATACGATGGTTGAGTCATCCAGATTGACGTACATTAGCACGCACCAGAAAAAGTTACGTTGTGAGATGTACAATAGGTTTTCAGATTCGTTGGTGCAAGGTGACAACGATACGTCTACCAAAGGGAAAAGAATTATTTTACCTCCTACGTTTGTTGGCGGTGCCCGTTACATGATTCAAAACTATCAAGATGCTATGGCAATATGTCGTTGGACTGGCTATCTAGATCTCTTTCTAACATTCACTTGCAACCCAAAATGGCCAGAGATTGAACGTTACTTGCGTGGAAGAGATTTAAAGGCTGAAGATCGTCTAGATATTGTTTTTAGGGTCTTCAACATGAAACTAAATGGATTAATACGAGACTTAAGAAGAATAAGATTTTTGGAAGAATTAGAGGACGTAAGTTCTTTTCTCTATCTACTTTATACTCAATCTAATATATTATTAGTACATTATCCAATATAATTCGTGTCCCCTCTTTTAATTACAGTTGTTTATACTGTCGAGTTCCAGAAGCACGGACTCCCACATGCCCACATCTTATTGTTTTTGGGTCAAGAAGATAAATTCCCCACGCCCAAAGACATTGATCAAATCATATCTGTTGAATTCAACGTTGTTCGAGATTTTATGATTCACGGCGCGTGTGGCTCGAATTCACCAAACTCACCTTGCATGAAGGATGGAAAGTGCTCTAAATATTTTTTTCCAAAGGCATTCAATGAGGAAACTAATATTGACAAGGATGGCTACCCAAAATATCGAATAAGGAACAATGGTCGGACAATAATGAAGAACAATGTTGAGTTGGATAATAGGTTCGTAGTCCCACACAATAGATATCTGTTGATGAAGTACGGTGCTCACCTAAATGTTGAATTGTGTAATCAATCACGTTCCATCAAATATTTGTTCAAGTACATCAACAAAGGCCATGACCGTGTCACTGCAGGATTTTATGCTAGCACACAAAGCGGAGAGAAAGAGCAGACAGAAACTCCAAATGAAATTAAAATGTATTACGATTGCAGATATATCTCTCATTGCGCGGCAACATGGCGAATATTTGGATTTCCAATACAATATAAATGTCCTAATGTTGAATGTTTAAGCTTTCACCTTCTTGGTGAACATTGGATTTTCTTTGAAGATGATGATGATGCAAGTGATGTTTACACTCGAGAGAGCATAAAAGAGAGTAAATTTCTTGCTTGGATGAAAGCAAATGACAAATATCCTCTTGCAAAGACGCTAACGTATGCCGAGTTCCCGCAAAAATTCGTTTGGAATCAAGCTAAAAGAGAGTATGTACCTCGACTCAGAGGCTTTGCCATTGGACGTGTTGTATACGTCCCACCAGGCTCTGGTGAGTCTTATTATATGAGAATTCTTCTAAACATAGTTCCAGGTCCGACGTCGTACGAAGATTTAAGAACATTCAGTGGTGTTATTCACAAAATATTTTTAGTGTTTGACTCCTACTTTATTATTTTTTTCCTAAAACTTAAAATGGTAAATTAATTTATGATTATTATTTCCTTTGCTATTTTTTGGCATTTCTAATTTTTTTGCTTTGTTGCGACTCTAACTAATTTAATCTTTATCGTTTATATTACTCCGAGTATTTTAGAATCACGACGTGTAAAAACTTATTACTAAACAGTACATTTGTTCTGTAAAAACATAAAACATATTAGTGCATCAAACATTTTTATTTTAATTGATTAGTTATTGTAATAATTTGTTTTTTAACTAATAAAATACAATGGTATTGTTTGACATTGTTACAACACTTTACCATATTGTTTCAAGCACATTGGTACTAAATGGTTTTGGTCGTAAAATCAAACAGTTTAAATAAGAATGGTACAGTACGGGTTCAATGAAAATCCTAAACTGTCACGGTCTGTGCCCACTCTAAGAGAGAATTAAGAAAATAATTTTTGTAATATGACTTCTAGAAAATGAGGAGTTTTCTATATAAATAAAGCATATTAAAATGAATATTTAAGATAATGAAATTTATTACTACCTCCGGTCATAATTTAATTTTTTTAGTCAAACTGTGATAATATTTGACTACACATTGTGAAAATATATATTTATTTGAAATATACAATTGATATTGAAATGCCTCAAAACATATCCTAAAAATAATATTAAATTATTAATCACTTAATCAAATATATTTTGATTAAAATAAGTTATTGTTGGGCCTTAGGTCAAATATGAAGAGATTTCATAAATATTAATTAATATTCAATATCATGTGAATGGATAAGTCTCATTAAGATAAATATAATATTAGAATTTTGTAGCTAGGCCTAATTTTAGACTTAGAGTACGGACCAAAATCGAATTGTTTAAAGAAGTGATTAATGACGAGAATGTATGGAGAATTATTTATTGGAACAAATCATTAGCTTGGATAATATTAATTAATTGAATATGAAATTTTTTGAATAAATATTAATTAAATCAATTTTAACTCTGCCGAGTCAGCCACCCAAAAATATGACACCAAAAAATCCTCTCAAATAAATATGAAACTTATATAGCCCATCACAATGGTGCAATATGATTTTAAATTAGAGAAAGTTTCGAATTTGTTTGACTAGTCCAGCCCAAAAGAGTTTTAGATCTAGAAAATAAATGAGTTATTCGAAAAACTCTATAGGTTATTTGAATAACCTGACCAATGTTTGCCAAGTTAATGGCCTAAAATGGATTTTCGTTCTAGAAAAGTTAGTGGGTTATTCGAATAACCCATATGGTTACTTCAATCACCAACACATTTTTTGTTCAGATTGATTCTGTTTTGTCCTGTTAGGTTTTGGGTATGATACAGACCAATTTGCTGAACTAATAAAGTTATTTATGCAACGTCTGAACCTCCAATTAGCTCAAGTCGTCCTTCACTAATTAAAAATGTTTAGAATTAATCTTATTCAGATTAAATATTACTAAGAAGTATGAATATTGACTATGATTCACTCTGGGACTTTGTTTCTTGCATGACGGTAAGGGTGTTAAGAGCCAATGCTAGGCCGGTATTTGTTGCTCCATGATTGTATGATGATAGTGATTATATATTGAACACTTGTGATGATAAACAAATGAATAATTGTGAAAACCCAATTATTTAGACTACCTATAAGAACTCTAGGATTGATCCAATGTAATTGAAATTGTGGTTACTAAAGGTACTTAGTGATTCTATATTGATGTTGATTATATCTTTAACGGTTGTGATTATGAACAAAAATCAATTGTGATGATTCAATAAACTCTCTAGAAATACTTTAGGATTGATCTAAACTAATTGATGTTGTGAGTTGTCAATAGATTGTCCATGTAGATGTGTCCATCCAGTGGCTAGGGTAAAAACATATGTACGGGATCCACAAACCATATGAGTATCACTCATCTGGGATACCACACACCCATTAGTGAGTATAGTAGTCCATCATTTGTAATAAGCGTGACCTATAAATCAGTAGAATGTGTCATGATTTTTGTGTACAAATGTTAATGGGTTGGTCTTAGCCTAGGTTTAGAATCTATGTTGATGGTGATAAACTTGATGATGATATGAATGATTAATTTGATGAACTTGATAATAACATGGATGAAAGAATGAAGATGTTGTGATTGTAACTTGCTGATGGATTCTAAGAGGTAGGGGTAGTATAAACTATAGAAAAGATTGAAGCTTGTAATATGACTTGAATAACTCAGAATTCAATCCCTCCACTTGTAGAAGGAGAAGGTCTATTTATACAATAAAAGTAATTGGTTGGGGTCCAACTACCCTAGGTTACAATAAATGGTTCATTAATTATGTTTGACCTACACTATGACATGTCTCTTTCTCATCAGAATCGAAGACTATTCACATGGCAGGGTTCGGTTTGTTGTTCCCGAGGGGTTGACCACTAGGAGCTGATTGGTGCTGAGCTCGTCCAATGGCCGACCATGCCAAACTCTCTCTGGTGTGGTGATGGCCAAGCGCACCCATGTTGTGCTTATGGCCGAGCCTGATCCTTACTGTGCTCATGATGGCCGAGCTTGAATCCTTCTTCCTAAAAGCCTAATGGTAATGAGTCAAGTTGCAAGACCTGGGAGTGGTGTGGCCGAGCTTGAGACAGACAAGGCCGAGCTTGGAGCCTCACCCTCACTTACTTACTTATGGGCCTTGCTTGCTCCTTCGAAGCCCATATAATATAGGCCCTGGTTTTAGGCCAGATATCTCCATCCATAGTCCCCCACTTCTCGAGGTGAGAGGAAGTAGATACGCAAACCAATCGTGACCAAAATCACAACGTTGCTCTAGTATATATTCCACTTTTGAGGATGCCTGTGTTGCCCCACATTGGTGGTCCTTGCCCAAGTCTTCCAAGAAGTCACGCTCGACTTCAATGGGGAGGAGTGCCTCATTAAAAACTGATTGGGAGAAAAACCCGGTGACACGGGAAAAATCCCCAACAAGAAAAGAGTACATTCATTGCATGCTGAAGGAAAGTTGTTGTCAACAACATTGAAGTTGTATTCCTCTGAATGCGTGTTGAGAGTCTTGAGATAAGTGTGCTTGAGCTGATGAGAAAAGAGAAGCGATACCCAAGAGTCCCCCATGCTCGTTTTCCAGAGCCGAGGAGATATGGGAAATCATCAAACTTGATGTGTTCGTTGTATCTAAGAATCTACCTTAGTTCCCTTGACATATGTTACGATATCGTGAGGAGATGCCTCATTTAAAACTTCCCGAGTAAAAACCCATGAGAATGGAGCACAAAACCTCGGTCAAGAAAAGAGTCCATCCTCGCCTCATGATACGAACATGGAAAAAATCCTTTTGGGTTTAAGGTCTTTGAGTAAGGCAAATGAAGTTGAGCAAGCGAAGCGGTTGACGATTGTGATATATGGATGAAGTGATCAACTTGACCTTAATGTCAAGTTCGAGTGTACACAAAAGGTTGCCGACTATGAGGAGTCTCCCTCTGTAGAAACATCATGGTAATATATGTTTGAGCATATGCCCTGGGGTGGTTCAGTTCGTCCTTAGGGGATTTTAATTTAAGAAAAATATGCCCAAGTCCCTTGAGGCGACTTAACCTTCTAGAAGCCTAATGAGCTACAAACGCTTGAGTAGGAATGAGGGGGTCTTGGACATTCGGCCGACCATGCCCTTTTCATTCACCGAACCGCAATTATGCCAAGTCGAGTAACGTCCCTTGACATTCCTACTTGTTAGGTCGGGCTATGAGTGGTTCAGTTCGGCCTTAGGGGGATTTTCCCTTACAAAAAAATACGCCCAAGTCCCTTGATGTGACTTAACCTCATGGGACCCTAAGGAGCCACGAACGCTTAAGCGGGATTGAGGGGGTCTTGGGCATCCGGTCGATCCCGCCCTTTTCATTTGCCGAGCCGCAACCATGCAAAGTCGGGGAACGTCCCTTGACATTCCTACTTGTCTAGTCGGGCCATGGGTGGTTTGGCTCGTCCTTATGGGGATTTTCCTTTAAGAGAAAAATATGCCCAAGTCCCCTGAGGCAACTTAACCTCATGGGACCCTAAGAAGCCACAAACGCTTACGCGGGAATGAGGGGGTCTTGGCCATCTGGCCGACCGTGCCCTTTTCATTCACCGAGCCATAACCATGCCAAGTCGGGGAGCGTCCCTTGACATTCCTTCTGGTCTGGTCGGGCTATGGGTGGTTGGCCTCGTCCTTAAGGGGATTTTACCTTAAGAAAAATACGCCCAAGTCCCCTGAGGCGACTTAACCTTATGGGACCCTAAATAGCCACGAATGCTAATGGGAGGGTCTTGACCATCCGGCCGACTATGCCTTTTCAATCGCCGAGCCGCAACCATGCCAAGTTGGGAAACATCCCTTGACATTCCTACTTGTCAGGTCTGGCTATATGTGGTTGGAGGAGTCAATGCGCGAAAGCCAGAAGACTAACCACGACTTGTTCCGACAGTTGATGGAACAAATGACGATCTGACCTCCTGGAACTCTGCCCGCCAAAACTGAAACCAACCCACGAGAACATCTCAACGCTGTTACTCTGCGAAGTGGGAAGGAAATTCAAGGCGCTGGCATGAGTTTTGACCCAACCTTGGAAGAGTCTGTGGCTGAACCAGTTAACCAACCAGCCGAAGAAAAGAAGAAAGAAGAACAGGAAGACAAGGAACCTTTTCTGTCCCAACATCCAAATGGTGATCTCCCGCCAAAGAAGGTGACCATACCCTTTCCATCAAGGGTAAAGAAGAGCAAGGATGAAAAAGCCTTCAAGAAGTTCTTAGACATCATGGGCCAAGTTGAAGTCAAACTACCCTTGGTCGATGTCTTGACGGAGATGCCAAAGTATGCCAAGTTTTTGAAGGACTTGGTCACGAATAAGAGGGACTGGGAAGAGGTTCCAGTGATAAATCTCAACGCAAGCTGTTCCGCGTTGTTGCTCCAACAAATGCCTGAAAAATGCAAGGATCCAGGTAGGTTCTCTATCCCTTGTTCCATTAAAGACATGCATTTTAAACATGCACTAGCAGACTTAGGTGCAAGCATTAATCTGATGCCCACATCGATTATGGAACAGTTAGGAATTTCTGAACTAAAACCATCTCGAACATGTGTTCAACTAGCAGATAGTTCTGTCTGTTACCCTCGGGGAATAGTTGAGGATGTGTACGTAAAGGTTGATAAATTCACATTCCCAGCTGATTTCGTAATCCTTGACATGGAAGAGGATTCTGAAATGCCTCTGATCTTAGGCCGGCCGTTTTTAGCAACTGCTAAGGCCCTGATTAATGTTCATGAAGGGAAAATGACCTTGAAAGTTGGAGAAGATGAGTGTACCTTCAAATTGACAGACTTGATGAACCAATCTCCAGGACCTACTGAATTTTGTCACTCTGTTAAAATTTTGAAAGACAAAGGGTCTGTTGAGACACTTCTCGGTCTGGAGGAGATTTTGAAGGTTGAGGAGATTGAACCAAGCAAGTGTGAGGATGTTCAGGAAGTAGAGGCTAAGAATGATCACTCTAAGGGATCCGATTCCCTAGAATTGAAGCCACTTCCTAAATATCTTGAATATGCATTTCTAGATGACGAGGGCAAATGACAAGTCGTCATCGCATCTGATCTGAGTGTGGGACAAAAGGCCGATCTAATGACAGTCCTCCGACAACACAAGCAAGCTTTTGCTTGGGAGTTGGAGGATATTCAAGGAATCAGCCCGGCCTTTTGTACCCACAAAATTGCGATTGAAGAAGGGTGTAAGCTCGTTGTTCAAGCACAACGGAGGCTTAACCCGAAGTTAATGGAGGTTGTCCAGAAGGAGGTCATCCGATTGTTAGACGCAGGTATCATCTACCCTATTTCTGACAGTTGGTGGGTCAGTCCCATTCATGTTGTTCCGAAGAAGGGGGGTATGCCAGTTGTACAAAATGAGAAGGGTGAACTTGTGCCGAGTCGCACAGTCACCGGGTGGAGAATGGTAATTGACTATCGCAAATTGAATGATGCCACCCGGAACGACCATTTTCCCCTTCCATTTATTGACCAGTTAATTGAGAGACTGGCGAGGCATGATTATTACTGTTTCCTCGATGGAATGAGCGGTTACTTCCAAATTCATGTTAACCTCGAGGATCAGGAAAAGACCACATTTACATGTCCATTTAGAACGTTTGCCTTCCGGCGAATGTCTTTTGGTTTATGTAATGCCCCTGCCACCTTCATGAGATGTATGATCGCAATCATTGAGAAATTTATTGGCAATTTCATGGAGGTCTTTATGGATGTTTCTCCATCATTGGAGAATCATTTGAGGAGTGTCTCAAGAACCTTGAGAAGGTGTTAAAGCGGTGCGAGGAGACCCACCTGGCCTTAAGTTGGGAGAAATGCCACTTTTTGGTCAAGGAAGGGATCGTACTCTAGGGCACAATGTCTCTAGCAAGGGTGTCGAGGTTGACAAGGCGAAAGTTGAGACAATAGAGAAACTTCCCCCACCGACTTCCGTTAGAGCCATCCGTAGCTTTCTTGGCCACACTGGTTTCTATCGAAGGTTTATAAAGGATTTCTCTAAAATAGCTAAGCCTTTGACCCGCCTGCTAGAAAAAGGAGCAGAATTTGACTTTGATGGCGAATGCCTAAAGGCCTTTAACACTCTAAAGGAAAAATTTGACTGGACCAAACCATTCGAGCTTAGGTGTGGTGCTAGTGATCAAGTCATAGGGGCTATTCTTGGCCAACGGGAGGGTAAAAACTTCCATCCTATTTACTATGCTAGTAGAACGTTGTCAGGACCACAACTGAATTACATCACCACTGAGAAAGAATTCCTCGCCATAGTATACGCTCTGGAAAAGTTTAGGCCTTACCTCATTCTGTCAGAAGTAACTGTCTACATTGATCATTCGGTGTTAAGATATCTACTTCAGAATAATGACGCGAAGCCTAGACAGTCATCAATTAGGAAAATAATTTATCTCTATATGTGTAGGAAAATTATATAGACAGTCATCAATTTCAGTTTTCTAAGAAAATTTCTTTTACCCTAAAAATAAGGAAACTTAAATTTTTTTGTCAAACTTAGATTTTTGTACAAATTTTTGAAAATTTTTGGTACAAATTGACAAATTTTGCTCTAACAATTGTTTTAATATCATGCTCTCTAATTTTTCAGTAAATATTTATTCTATACAAAATATTTCGTAAGTTCAAATAACTTTTAATTGTTTTATTAGAAATCTGTTAAGATATTGCTCCGCTATTTTTTTCAAAATATGAGCACTTATTGTTTCTTTAAAAGTTCTTTTTCAAATAAAACATTTTTTTTGCAACACACTTTGGTGAGAACGAGTTCTGGAATAAATTTAAAGTCAAAAAGCATTTGGTTCTATGTCAGATGATGAGACTTATTTTGGGTTAGTGCCAAAAAGCATGCGGTTCTATGTCGTGTGATGAGGTTTTTGAGTGAATAGAAATCCAAAAAGCTCGTGGTTCTAGGTCATGAGATGAGGATCAAACTTTTTGCTCGTGTCAACATGACAAGGTGTGTTGTTATTCAAAAAAAAAAACTGGAAAGTTACATTTTCAAGAAACAATTTTCTAATTCAATCATTAAAGATTCTTTGACCTTGTAAAATATTCAAGTAACTGGAAAATTGTTATTTAAAATTTAGAGAACATGATTTTGATAACACCAATATTCCTAAATTTTGATCATGCAAACCAAATTTAATTAAATTTGTATAAAAAATATGAGTTTGACAAAAGATTTATTTTCTAACAATATGGGTTAAACTTCTTTTTGGAAAATTAAGTTGATGACTGTCCAATATCTTATTCCTTCAAATAGATTGTGTAAATATTTTTCGTTCATGTATTAATTTGTCCTAGTTCTTTTAGTTATTCAGTTTGTTGCTTGAGGGCAAGCAACGTTTAAGTGTGAGGAATTTGATAAGTACATTTTGTGCTTATTATTTTACTCATATTTAAATGGTTTTGTGTGTAAATATATTTTATTAAAATAAAAATATTCATTTTTTATCATAAATATCTTGAAGTTGTCATTTTGTTTATAGAAAAAGGTGTTCAAAACAAATTTGGAATTTTCAAACAGAAACTGGTTCAAATAGAGTAAAAACTTGAAAGAAAATAAAATATTTGGGATGTTTAAACTCAACTTCGTCTGTAGCTCCAGAAGAGAAAAATGTTCAGCACAAAATATAGAGCTTGCCACAGAAATTCGAAGCCCAAATTCCTAGGTTGGCCGGGCGACCTGCTGGGCGACCACCCTAGACCCAGCCCCGGGATTCAAATGCAAGATGAGGCAAGAAACGACACGTTGTGTAAGGATATTTTTTATCGACTGTGGGGCGACCGCCCCGAACCCAGCCCTGGATTCCAAACGGCAGCTAATCGCAACTGGCAGCAACTTGGGGCGGAATATTCAGATATTCCTCCTAGGGCGATCTTCTGGGCGGCCGCCCCACACCCCGCCCCGGAGATTCCTAGGCCTATAAAAGGCAGCGTCCTTCGGCCTTCAAAACATCATCATCAGTTTTCGGATTTCTCCTTCTCTCTAGCAGTAGAATCAATGTAAAAATCATAGTTTTTAGTTTATTTTTGGAGTTTCTGTTCCAATTCTGTTCCAATTCCGCTTTTCTGGAAGTTGTAAGTTTCTTCAATTAATATTATAAACATGTTTTGTTATTCAATTTGTGCATTTTTTATTATTATCATGTCCTTTTAAATATATTAGGGATGTGAATTGAAATTAGGGTAGTAGGAATGTAGAAAAAATAACATGTTGAAATATTAAACTTAATTAATTAAAATGTTAAGTTTCTAGTAATTGTTGCATATTTTAATTAATTAATCTGGCCAATTTATTAATTAACATTTGAAGAATTATTATGTCCATTTGTCAATGAATGAGAAAAATAATTTAGTCAATCAATTCTAGCACATTAATAATGCCTAGAGATAGGATAAAATTAATGGAGTTATTGTGACAGAATTACTCACTAGCTAAATTAATTAGTTAATTTAATAATCCAACTAGTTAAAATATCTGGAAAAAAAAATTCCTACTACCTGAAATCAATTCATATTCCCTTTTTATCAAACAATTATTTTATTACTCTGTCCAACGCAGTTTCAAATCCAAACCACAAACACTTTTCGAATTTAGAAGGCTTCCAAAACCAATGAGTAAACTTTGCCTAACTAGATTTTAAATAGAAAATTTATTTTAACACCAATCCACGTGAATACGACACGGGAATAAATCGATCTCTTTTAGAGTGAAATTTACTACCGCTAAACTCTTACGTTATGCCTCAAGCCATTAGGTTGAGGGAACATTTGCTTGGGTGTCATGCCTTGCGCCTTCCCTCTCGTGTGTGGAGTACGAATAGATCGTGCCCTCCTAGGACCTTCCTTGGCCGTGGTTGGGCGAAAATGCTGTTCTTGATTTTGTTGATGTCTTGGTGTGCGGTGGATGTACCAAGTGTGCATAATTACCAGCCTTGCTTGACTTCATTGTGGCATTGGGATCCTATGAAGGTGCTAGTGTTGGCTCTTTTATTGTGACCCCAAGTCAAGTGAGACTTCCCGCTGAGTTTAAGCATATCAATAAGAGGAGGAGAAGAAACTTACAAGGATTTCTTTAGTAATGGTGAGTGAAATGCGAATAGCCCAACCTTAGAATCGACTGATTTTGCCATTTGAATTGTAGTCTTGAGAATCATCCTTAGCGGCGGATTGGGCCCAAGTCCCCTGGAAAGGGGCACTGGAGAGGTTGAGAGCTTTGTCGGGCCTAGACCCTGTCGCACCACGAGGTGGTGTCTAAGAGTCGGGTTGTTAGGGAATGCAACCCAAATTTTGTGGTGAATTCCGTCCATGGCTAAATACAGGCGAGAGCCTGATAGCGAATAATTACCTCGAGGGAAAGATGAAAAGAATTTTGAAAAAAGAGCCAAAGAGTGCTTGAAATTGTTGAGAGGGAAGTAGATGGAGACCGGCGGATAGGCCCACGTTGGATGTGGAATGGTGGTTAGACGGTCTGCTGATTCGCTCTGGGTGTGGATTTTGCTGATTGGCAGCCGGTGGTTAGCCGGTCTGCTGATTGAAGCTTGGGCATTTGATATGCTAGGCGAATGTCGTCTCTTGTATTGCGAGAAGTAGTGTGCGCCCCGCGTGTGCTTCGACACATGCGTACTCAGGTCGTTGACTTGTGGGCTCTACATTTAACACCCCAAAATATACCCCAGAATTAAAAAAAAATCTAGTAAAACATAATTCTTTTTTTCATATAAATTAAATAAAAATAGAAACGACAGTGTTAAATATAATTAGGTTCATTATAAGATTTAGTTTTAATATATCCAATTTTATAATATTTATATGTTTAAAAATATTTTTAATTTGTTTTAAAAACTATCACACTTTAACCAAAAAATCAAATGGTAGGTGATATTCATTTTAAGACAAATTTTTTGAAAGGGGCATATTAAAAACAGTTTCATCGACTTGTAAGACTATCTCCATCGTGGCACATGTACGTAATCCACGGTTAATGTGGAACCAATCTGCCTGACATGATGTAGTGGTTGAGTCTATTTGATGGGCACATGTCACCCTTCTTCCCTCTAGATGGATGCACATATAGGATTTTTTTTCAATTTGGCCATCTAGTCTATATTATTCAATTAATTTATTTTAAATAAAAAGCATTTAATTAAATAATTAACTAATTTATGAACACAAAACTTAAATTGAATGTGAAATAAAATTAGATGGTGTATCTAGCCCCTCTCTTGAGCTCTGGACACTATGAGAATCTCTCACAAGCGTATACACTGCCTCATTAGTAGAGCGTAAGATAAACGTAAATAAGAAATCTCTGTAGGAACGGGCGTTGAGATTAAAATCTAGAAAATAAATAAATAAATAAATAAAGCGGAGAAAAAGTATGTATACGCGGAAACCCAAATCGGGATAAAACCACGGGCCTTTCTGGGGTGCCATGCCAAAGGAAGGAACTTTTTTTTAATGTGGAGTTTATATATACATCTTTGTAGAAACTTAGAGCAATTAATAGAGCTTTCAAACTTCAAATGAGAAGAAAAAAGAAGAATGGTACCCTGGAGCTTGTCCTTCCCCTTTTTCTCGTAGCCTCTCCATATTTAAAGGGGAGAAATCCCTCTCAAAAAATCTTGGCGGGCTTCTTTAAGGTGTGGGTTCTCACCCCTGTCCTTTTCTTCTAGGGGTGGGCAAAAAAACCGAACTAGCATGATACCATACCGGACCGTAATGGTACCGAACCATTTATAATGTTTTCAAACGGGATTGATTTTTTTCATCACGAACCGAAACCGAACCGATACCAAATGGGACGGGACCGTGATACAAATATTTAAAACTTATTATCACGGACCGAACCGTCCAATGCTATATACGGAGTACATATCTCAAATAATTATGGAGTATTCGTCTACTTCATCTTACCGTGTATATAGTACTTCACATTTTATTATTCATTTTTAAACCCTCTCATTATTATTGTTGTTATTATATTTATCATTACTATTGGCATTATTGTTTTATAGTTATTATTAGTATTCCGATATTATATGAATTGGAAAAAAAATTATTTTTTAACTTTGGTCTCGTTATCTTTTATTCTTTATGTTTATGATCCGTTTAAATTTGAAGTCAACACTTTTATTTAACATTCTTGTGCTTTTTATACAAATTTATACATTGAATTAAATATTCTTTAAGTAATGTACGTTCATTTTTTTTGGCACGGTTTGAGCATGGGTATGGTATTGTACCATTCCGTTTCAAAACAGAATGGTACTGAATGGTTTTGGAGTTCATCCCGTACCGATACCGAACCGTTTAAATAATAGCGGTCCGTGATAGGTTCCGGTAGTATCACGGACCATCACGGAGGACCGCGCCCACCCCTATTTTCTTCCATAGCTTCCTTTAAAGGGGAGAGGAGTAATTAATGGAGACAAATGGGACATCCTCCATGTGAAACCCACATGGCTTCCATGTGAGAATTTCCTTGGGGCCCCGCATGATATATTTAAATGACTTCAAATATTTTTTTTGTCCATATAGATTTGGCTCCGTCTTGAATAATTTATCTAATTTGTATCTTGGGCCGGAAGAAATTGGAATTACTTATACTGTTCAAATAATATTGAATTAGATAAAATCCCTAATCCATCAATACACACACATATATATATTTCTTTCTTGACCACTGTTGAATTGAATTATGCATGTGTTTGTGTTAAATATATTAAACATATATTTAGTATATTTGTATACATTGTAGTTTCCATACATGTATAGTCCTTATTAGTTAAGGATTCCTAACATGGTAGGTTTCCTAATATAACTAGGAATACTCTACTATATATTCTCCCTTGTATTTACACATTATGATTAGTGGAATATATCAATTCTTCATGGTATCAGAGCGTTAATTTTCTCACGGCTCTCTCTCCTGTTCTTCGGCCCTCTCTCTCCTCTCGGCGATCTCCCACTGCTCTCTCGGCCTTCTCCTTTTCTCTCCAAAATTCACCATGGCCGAAGTCTCCTCTGTCTCCTCCGACAACACCAACAACCCCCAAATCTCCCCACCTTGCCTTTACAACAATCTCAAACATCAAACTCCATATCCCCGTTCAACTTAGCATCTCAGAGCCAAATTACAAAAAGTGGAGTCGTCTCTTCCGCCTCCTCGTCCTCCGTTTCAATCTCATGGGATATCTCAAAGGCACTATCGTCGCCAAATCGGCCGACGATGCCGAGTGGTACCAGTTTGACGCTCTTCTTCAAGGATGGATCTTATCCACCGTCTCCGATGAGGTCTCTGACCTCGTCCTTGCCAACAACCCCACCGCCTACGCTCTTTGGAAGTGTAACGCCCTGGGAACCGGCCTAGAAGTTGATCAATAATTAAATAAATAAGAATTATTTATTTACGACAATCTATTCCTTTAAAGAATTAAAAGATATTTTAGAGATTTTAATTGTCTCAATGTAACGGGACTAGTTTGATTATATTTGTAAAGATTTAAAGTAAAAGACTGACCAGTACTAATTAATCAAAAGAATTAAGACGGACCAGGTGGAACAAATAAATATTAGTGGATTGGTTACAAAAGTTATACCGTTGGGTAGGGATCGACGAATTGAATCCAACGACACGAACAGATCTCAGTTCGGGGCATGTTGGCCTGAAAAGTGTGTTTTTACTCAGACACGTTATTTTAAGTTAAGGAGCACAAAACCCTAGGTATATAAATATAAAATTCTCGTTCTCAAATCCAGATATCCTTCTTCGATTCAACGCCGACGCCGTCAACCACATCTCCTCCCCTCTTCGATCGGGCAACGGCGACCAAGTCCAATTGACGTTGCTCCGTTCTTCTTCACTAGCAGTCGACGGCGACCCTAGCAACGACGTCGACTCAGGCAGCAGCGGCGGCGGCAGAGGGGTCTCCTTTCCCCTCTCGGTTTCCGGCGTGGACCAGCGACGAACCAACAACACTCCGGCTCGTGCAACGGTGGCGACCATGGACCTTGGCAGCGGTGGTCGTGAGGTGACTCTGGTTACAACAAACCAGCGAGGCGACTCTTCCCTGCGAATTCCGGCGATTAAACAGCGGCGGTGCTCCGGCGAGTGACCTCCATCGACCGGCAAAGTCTAGTCCTTGATTGACTGAGTTCGGGCAGCATGTCGATCCGGCCAGCAGGGGCATTTTCAACGACCAATTCGGGTGACCGGCTCCGAGTGATGTTCCTTGGAATTGAATCGAAGCAACGAGGTGAGTACGTTGACATCTAACACTAGGATATGCATCTAGGTTTGAAATTCCGTTCATAGTAGTTATCGTGGTTGATCTATGTGGTTTATCTGTTTAATTGCTCGTTATGGTTTCGGGAATTGTTGTCGTTGAATCAAATGGGTAGTATGCATGATTTAGGCGTTGATTGATTAATTAATGTGTTGATAATGTTTAGAATGTTAATATGAACCTATTGGTGTTTGTTCTTATGAGATTTCTGTTGGTTTGATGATGCACAACGAAACAGGTATAATATGGATTTTGTTGTGTCAGACGGTAGGCGGTACCGCAAGGACAGTACCGTGCTACCGTCACACTTTGTTTGTTTCGTTCCCCTCTGCCGGTAGGTGTGACCGTTCGGTACCTAGGTACTGGACGGACGGCAGGCCCTACCGTCGGGTCGGTAGTGGCTACCGTGACAGGCCTACCGGATAGGTCCAGTTAGTTCAGACGGTACCCCAGTACCGTAGGATCGGTACCCAGGTACCGTGAGGACGGTACCCCGTACCGTGACAGGTGCCGTCTCGAACCTGATGTCGGGTCCGTCGATCTATGTTTTCGTCAAGGATTGATTCCGAGACTCCGTGTGTTGCATGACGGTAAACATGGATGTTTACACCCAGTGTTAGGCCGCTATCTGATTATGTTGGATATCTTGTTAATTACATTGTGGTTTATGAATGTTGTATTATGTAATGATTAATGAATATTGGATATATCACCTAGAAGAACTCTAGGAAATGACCTGAATGGATCAGTGGCAAGGTATGCCATAAGTATAGTAAGTTAGAGCCATGTGGTACCTGCTGGGTCCAATGGTTGTTCGGGTAAAAACGTGTACACGGGGATCTAAGAACTGTCGTTCCGAAGTTGACAGGGATCTCACCCACCCAACGAGGAACTCCCAAGTTGGTTTGAGCTTGACCTTCGTTCCGAAGGGGAAGGTCATGACTCCATAGGCAAGTCGAATTCAGTTAAACTTTAACCTAGCATAGGTTAAGAGCCAAGTACGATAAGGAAAGTAAAGTAAACTAAAAAGAGAAGTTCCTAATACCTATACCATTGTTGTTTGTATCTTATGAATTGTTATGAGGTTGATTATGCATGTCATACCTTGTATGCTGTATGATTGTTGCCAAGCATGTTGTGTGCATGATATCATGTGATAATTATGAATTAGTAGATTCGCCTATGTGAATGTTCGAACTATTAGATATTTCTCACTTAACTTCAATGCTGAGCGTGTAGCCCTTTTTCCTATTTGCTACACGTAGGTGGTTGTGGAAGATTGATTCTTGAATCCATCCCGGAGAGCAGCATGATGGAGGAGATGTACGAATGCAGGGATTTAATGTTTGATTTATTTATAAGGCTTCCGCACTGTTTGTATAAACTCCGATGTGTATTTAAAATATTTTAAGTGGTTTGAGTTTCAAATTAATTGTTTTAAATTTATTGGAAAATATTGTATGATGATACCAATCTAGTAGCAACCCGGTTCGCTAACCTATTTATCGGGTTATGCGGGTTGGGGTGTTACAGGAAGGCAATCTACAAATTATTCCATGATAACAAGCATGCTCGAGCGATGCAATTGGAGCATCGCTTCCGCACCACCGTCAAAGGCACAAAGACAATAAATGAATATTGTCATACTCTCAAGAATCTCACCGACTACCTTGACGACGTGGATGCTCCAGTGACAGAACACGCGCTTGTTCTCCAAGTTCTTCAAGGCTTGCCGCATGACATCCGGGGTCAGGTTCATTTTTTGCAGTATCAAAACCCGTTCCCGACATTCCTGGAGGTCCGATCTGCCCTCCTCTTGGTCGAACAGCAGCAGGCCGACGCCCTCTCCAATGCCGGCCCGTCCACCGCCCTCCTCAGCTTCAACGGCGGCGGCGGCAGTCCTTCGGCGGGCGGGGGTCAGTCGCGGCAGGGCAGCAGCGGTCAGTCCTCAGGGCGCGGCAGCTTCGGCAGTTCCAATCGGGGCAACTCTAGCGGCTATCGAGGGCACGGACGTGGACGTGGACGTAGCGGCCCGAATCAACGACAACCCGGAGGCCCAAATCCTTGGCAGTTCCCTACTCCCTCACCCGGCCTACTCGGCCCACGCCCATATTCCCCTTACCCGGCCCAGGCCCACGCGGCCCAATACCCAAACCCAACCCACTACCCGAACCCGCCCCAAGCCCAATACCCACAGCCCAACCCGTACTACCCCACAGCCTACCCAAACCTGAACCCCTCATCCACTTACCCGNNCTCGAAAACCTACATCTCACCTCCCACCCAACCTGGTTCATGGACACCGGAGCCTCGCACCACATCAGCGCCGACTCAGGTACTTTATCTCATGTATTTTCTTCAAACATTAATTCACCTTCTCATACTATTGTAGGCAATGGACGCAAAGCATTGACGAGAAGAATCTTGTTATTGACACCACGCAAAATACTTAAGCTAGGTAAGGCATACGACACACTTCCAAAGATATGACGACTAAGGTACGCCGTACTCTGGACGAGACTGTATATCGATAATCACCGATGCGTAGAACTGGCAAACCTGACACGAAAGAGTACGAATGATGATGATCGCACGACGACGATGAATGACAATCGTATAGTGCAGACGAGTGCAGCGTGTGACGGTTAGACAACGGATACAAAATCTTAATAAGTGATTGACATCACGCAAGCTGATGAACGGATTGTACCGAGCAACTACGAGACACGGATAACACGTACATGGATGACGGTCGCTGTGACTTCTGATTAGGTACCTTTGACTTGAAAAAAAACGAACTCGCCAATGATAGATGAATGACGATGAAACTTGTTCCGCAAAAAAAAAGCCGACAACTAACTATTCAATGTGCGACATCTCTCAAATTTACTCATGAACGTATGTAGATTGTATAATGAAGAGTTCCCAAAAGATTCGCCGAGAAATGTGTTGAAGATTAAAGACCCCTAAGAAGCAATTCTTGGAAAACCTCGTTGAATGTGTGTGTGTGTGATTGTACGAACGTTGGGTTTGAATATCGTGACAAACCACCAACTAATATTCCTGAACCGTTAAATTTTATCTGTAATCTACACCTGCATGTTGATTATGCTGGTGGTTCTTTACCTTGACCCATTGACAGTGATCAAAGTTATACTTGTGAAGGAAGATGGTACCTCCGTAACGAATTGATAAAACCTTTTACCAAAACCAAGCGATGACGTACCCGCGAAGATAGCAATGGCTTGTGTGGCAAGAAGTTGATGTAATAATGTTGACTTTGACTTTTAAACTCGTACTTTGTGAAACATCAAACATAAACGAAATAATGAATTTGTTTTGAAGAAAATGCATTTATGAAACCGTCGTGACCCTATTGAACCAGTCTGTACGTTCCTGCGATTCCTGGAGAATCTCGCTGAAGATCGTAACGATGAAGATTTTACTCTACCAAGAACAAAGACATGTGTATGTATGAATGAGGAGACGCTGTAGTATCTTGTCACCTAAAATATTCAAATCACCCTGGATGATACGCACAAAGAATCGCTGAATGAAAAGTTGTTATGAAGACCGAACGAGTAAACTTGTGAGAGCTGTTGTTAACTGAACCCCTAAACCAAGAACCCTTACAATCCCAAGTACATTGTAATTATCAAAAATTGTGGACGTAATAGCATGTTGAAGAATCTTCTTTCTGTTCAGAAAGAGAGTGATGGATAAATAGATGATTGAATTAATTGTCAAGGTCATGAGTAGGATAGTTTATCTCATGAGTCTTGAGTTGTCTAAAGCATAGGCTATCACATGTCCCTCTTGCATAAGAACACATCCCAGCCCATTAAGTGAAGCGTCACTGTAGATTGTATAATCTTTTCCGGGGGCGGGTTGGGTTAACACTGGTGCGTTCGTCAGATATTCTTTTAATTGTTCAAAACTCTTTTGACACGCAGGCGTCCACACAAATTTCTCTCTTTTTCGTAACAATTTATGGAGCGGTGATGCAACGGTGGAAAATCCTTTCACGAATCTTGAATAGTATCCAGCCAATCCCAAAAAGCTTCTGATCTCCCGTACATTCCTTGGCGGCTTCCATTCAAGAATAGCTGATATTTTTGTAGGGTCAACCTTGATTCCTTCGGCTGAAATGACGTGGCCTAAGAAGGTAACTTCGTTAAGCCAAAATTCACATTTTGAGAATTTTGCATACAGGTGGTTCTTTCTTAGTACGTCAAGAACTATCTTCAAGTGTTGGCCATGATCTGCCTCGTTCTTCAAATATACCAGGATATCGTCAATAAACACTACTACGAATTGGTCAAGATAAAGTCGGAATACGTTATTCATAAGATCCATGAACACTGCAGGTGCATTTGTTAATCCGAATGGCATGACCGTAAATTCGTAGTGTCCATACCGAGTGCGGAATGCAGTCTTTGGTATGTCTTCTTTCTTTACTGGAATTTGATGATATCCAGATCGCAAGTCGATTTTTGAGAAGACCGTAGCTCATTTTAACTGGTCGAACAGATCTTCAATTCGTGGCAATGGATACCGATTTTTCACTGTCATCTTGTTTAGTTGACGATAGTCAATACAAAGGCGTAATGACCCATCTTTTTTCCATACAAATAGTACAGGAGCTCCCCAAGGAGAAACACTAGGTCGTATAAATCCCTTGTCAAGAAGTTCTTGTAATTGTGCCTTGAGTTCTTTCATCTCTGCAGGTGCCATCCTGTAGGGACTTATAGATATTGGCTCGGTCCCGGTTACTAGATCGATTGAGAACTCAACTTCTCTATTAGGAGGTAATCCGGGAAGTTCTTCAGGGAATACTTCTGGGAATTTGCACACAGTAGGGATTTCTTCAAGTTTCGGGTTTCCTTTCCGTACATCTCGTACGTTACAAAGGAACGCTTCACATTTCTTTCGCATCAGACGTTTTGGTTGCATCATTGATAAAAATTCAAGGAATTTAGGAAATGACTCTCTTGTGATAACAACCTTGTTTTTCTTGTCAGGACCAAGCTGTACAATCTTTGCGGCACAGTCTACCACTGCATCGTGTTTAGACAGCCAATCCATCCCGAGGATTATATCAAACTCCTTATATGGGAGTTCGATAAGATCAGCCGTGAATTCTGTTTCCTGTGCGGTTAATGGGCATCCTCGATACACAAAATTTAAATCCATACTATGCCCCAATGGATTAGATACTAACATGGGACATTCAAGCGGTGTTTTTGAAGTATCCTTTAAACATGGTAGTTTCACACAGATATAGGAGTGCATGGAGCCAGGGTCAATCAAAGCAGTTACGTCAGTATCATATAAAGTAAACGTACCAATCATGACTTCGTTCGAAGGTCCATCCTCTCGTGCCCTCATGGCATATGTCCGTGCAGAAGCTGTCCTCGACCCTTGATTGATAGATGGTGGTATTTTCTGTTTCCCTCTTTCTTGGTTCGTTTGATTAATCGATGCCACTGAGGCATCTGGTGCTGAAGTCGATGGGTTGGTGGGACAATTCCGCTTGAAGTGACCCTTTTGCCCGCATCCCAGACATGCTCCTGTTGCGTACCAACATTCCCCCGGGTGACGACGGCTACAGTGAGGACAAAGGGGCGCACCGCTGGACGGAGTGCTAGTTACTGGCTTCGTTCTCTTGTTTGGTGGGGAGGGTTGATTTCCAGGAGAGTACCTTTTCCCGGATGATGTTGGGTGTGGAAACGATCGAGATGACCCTCCAAAGGTTATTTTCTTTTCTGAAGCTTTCCTGGCGTCAATTCTTTCTTCAGCTCGTTCTATCTTGGCATAAACTGCATTGAAGGTGGTATAATCAACCGCTGCCACAGCTAATCCCAGTGCATGGTCCAGGCCTTCAACAAATTTTTCACATCTTCTCATGGTGTTGTTCACCGAATCTGTCGCATATTCTGCCGGCTTATCATACTCTTGCCGGTACTCGATCAAAGGTCGACCATTTTGCTTCAACTCTGTGAATTGCTTGCGCTTCGCTTCCCGGTACCTGTCCGGAACATATTCTTCTTTAAAAACAGTTTCAAAGAAGTCCCATGTGATATGTTCAGGAGTCGCGGGATCTCTTTCAATCCTTTTCCACCAGTCATATGCGGCGTCTTGTAGCAGTGCGACGGCCAACTGTGGTT